CCCTGCAGACATCCTCCGATCTAGGACTTTTTGCACTCCACGGCCCAGGCGCTCCCGCATCCCTTCTCTGGGGGCAGTTCGGCGTCCCGCATCCATGTCTGTAGATTGCCCCTTGGGCCCAGGAACGGGCCCGGGAGACTGGAAGCCAGGCAGCACGCCCGGATTGCAAAGTCGTATCGTCGGAGACATGGGACACACGACGTCGGAGTTCAGTTCTGGGTTTCTCTCGGCGGCGAGCGCCGGGGGGAACTGAGAAGGAGAAGGCCCTCTCAGACGGCGGCGGGGCTTCTCAGAAACATTGGCGCCTTCTGAGAGGGTGTCTGCGTCTTCGGGGGAGGCTTCGAAAATCGCTCACAAGGCCAGGGGACTTCCGAGCGTTCTGAGAAGGCCTCACCTCCCCCCGCGCTCGCCGCTGAGACATGGGAAACACGACGTCGGAGTTCCGGGCTTCTCGAGCGCGTCGAGGACAGATCGCGCCAGAGGTGCCCTTAGCATCGAGCCCCGCTGGCCGCCAGGCCGAGCGTCGTCGCGGCGAGGGCTGGAGAGCCTCTGCGTCGCGGGTCGGAGGTGCGCCACAAACGCCCAGTCAGAAAGAGCGGCTTCTCAACCACTGAGGGGCGGAGCCCAGGCCACGCAGAACTGGGCGGGCTGGGTGATGAGACGAGAGAGAGAGAGAGAGAGAAGCCGGAAGAAAGGAATCAGCAGGAAGACGATGACAAGGATAATGGCAAGCAGAAGTTCCACACACATACACACGCACACGCTCATTACATACATACATATATATATGCATATAGGTGCCCGAGGTCCCTCCTGGGACCAACCATGCGGCCGACCTCGCCAACGCGCTTGTCGCATCCATCTCGCCTCCCTTCGTCCTCAGCCTGCTCTTTCTCCTCGTGTGCCTCCTCGCTCTCCTCTTCTTCGCCCTCTGCCCTGTCCTTCCTTCCTTCTCGGCCTCCGCCGCCTCCTCCTCTCCTTCTTCCTCCCTTTCCTTCATGTCCTCTTACTACCCTAGTTTTGTATTGTAGTAGTGGTGCTGTAGAAGCAGGACTCTAGCACAGTATTCGTATGAGCAGTACTCTACGATTGCCTGCAGCGGGTGTACTACAGTACTGTAGTAGGAATTCTCCAATGCCATAATTCTCGCAGCACGGTTGTAGTATTAGACTACTGTTGTGCTGTGGCAGTGGCACTGTAACAGTCGTTGTGCACCATTGGAGCAGTAGCATCGCAGAAGTGGTACTCTTGTGCTGTAGTTGTAGTACTCTGGTACTGGCAGTGATCATCGTGGAACTCTAACATTGGAGTGTTCAAGCTCGGTAGCCGCACCCTAGTACTGTAGCGCGCGCCGTAATAGTATTGTATTAGTAGCGTTCTGTTGGAGTCGAAGTAATACTCTGGTACAGTAGTGGTAGCGCTGTAGTGGTGGCTGGGATGCACAATTGCATTACTTTAGTCGTGTAGCAGCATCCTAGTACGGTCGCGCTATTGTAGTAGTAGTGCTGTGGGAGTAGTAGTACTAGAGCACGTTAGTAGTAGTACTGCTGTATAACTGTGTAAGTCGTCCTACTCGAGTACTGTAGTAGCAATAGTAGGGCTGAGGCTTAGGCTAGGTTTTGGCTTTGGCTGTGGCCTTGGCTGAGGCTAGGCTTAGGCAGAGGCTTCGCCCGAGCCTTCTGTTAGGCTGAGGCTGAGGCTTAGACTGAGGCTGGGGATTTGGCTAGGCTGAGACTTAGGATGGGCTTCGGCTAGGTTTCGGCTTGGCAAAGGCTTAGGCTTGGTTGGCTCAGGCCGATGCTTAGGCTAGGCGGAGGCTGGTGCTTAGGCTTAGGCTAAGTATCAGGCCGTGCTTAGGCAACATTTAAGCTGAAGCTTAGGCTAGGCTGAGGCTGAGGCCCAAGCAAGAAGGATAAGAATGACGGGCGAATCCGTCACATCACCAGGAGAGTTGCGCCGTCTTCCATGTGGCAAATTCGTTGCGACTGGGCTTATGTAAGCTTGGTGCGTTTCAGGGACTCCACCGCAAACTTACATAACCCTGCTTCCGAACATATCTCTGCTTCCCGGCCAGGGGGAGGAGCAAGAGGAGCGAGGCGATGAAGAGGAAGAAGGGGATGAGGAGTCGAACGACGGGGGTAGGGTCTGGACGCCGTCGAGCCAGAAGGGGGAGAAAGTGGAGGTCTAAACATTGCTCTGGTCTGTGTGTTGTCCTGCACTTCCTGGCTCCTCGCCCTCCTCCCATCCCTTCTAGGAGTTCTGTGCGCCTGCTGCGTATCAGACTTCACCAAGGAGCACGTTATACAGTGGCATACGGCCTATCTCTCCATATAGCGCAACACAATACAACACTACATAACGTAATGCAATGCAACGCAGGGCAGTACAATACAACACTATACGATGCAATGCAATGAAGCATAAGATTTCAAGCACCGCATTATTTGGAACAGCTGTCCAAAGAAACAAATTTCGCCACGGACTCGATGTACGTGTGTGTTTATAAATTGTGATGTGTTTTGTTTCAGTGTGCTGTTATCTCTTCAACCCCTTGGGCCACCGCCCTGTATGCCAGAACGACCGGAGAGAGGATCTGGACCATTAAACAAAACAATTAAACATGTAGACCCAGCAACATTATGCCGGCAAAGCAACCTAACAGCGATGTGTAGGAGCATATCTGGAAGCATTCCCCTTAAGGTTCAGATGATAATCCAGTTGTAGAATTCTGCTGTTCTCGCAGTCGTAGTCGCATTCGCGATGACAGTCGCAGCGGCAACGGCAGTCGCAGTCACAGCCTCAGCCTCAGCCTGCCTCAGCCTCAGCCTCAGCCTGCCTCAGCCTCAGCCTGCCTCAGCCTCAGCCTCAGCCTGCTTCAGCCTCAGCCTCAGTCTGCCTTCAGCCTCGGCCTCAGCCTCAGCCTGCCTCAGCCTCAGCCTGCATCAGCCTCAGCCTCAGCCTCAGCCTGCCTCAGCATCAGCCTGCTTCAGCCTCAGCCTCAGCCTGCCTCAGCCTCAGCCTCAGTCTGCTTCAGCCTCAGCCTCAGTCTGCCTTCAGCCTCGGCCTCAGCCTCAGCCTGCCTCAGCCTCAGCCTGCCTCGGCCGCAGCATCAGCCTGCCTCAGCATTCAAAATGTGGCCCAGGAGTGGAGTTCTGGAAACTAGACGAACACGAGGTGGCCTACAGTTGGCTCCGGGCATTCAAAATCATGCCCAGGAATGGAGTTCTGGGAACTTGAAGAGCACGAGGTGGCCTACAGTTGGCTCTGGGCATTCAAAATGTGGCCCGGGAATGGAGTTCTGGGAACTCGAAGAGCACGAAGCGGCCTACAGTTGGCTCTGGGCATCCAAAATGTGGCCCGGGAATGGAATTCTGGGAACTCGAAGACCTCGAAGTGGCCTACAGTTGGCTCCGGGCATCCCAAATGTACGCCGGGAATGGAGTTCTGGGAACTCGAAGACCACGAAGTGGCCTACAGTTGGCTCCGGGCATCCAAAATGTGCGCCGGGAGTGGAGTTCTAGCAGCGCCAAGAGCGATTTTGCGAGGATGTCCCAGGCGATTTGGGCTTCGACGGCAGCCGCGCCGGGTCCCGCCCCGGGTCCCGCCCCGACCCCCTCTGAAAAGTCATGATGCTCTCTTTTGACCCCACTAGAAACCTATCAGTCTTCGCTGTTAGGTAATAACTCGAGTCCCTAGCGAGAGCGCAAATATTTGGAACAGCGGTTGCAAAAAAACAAAACAACAGATTTCGCCAGGGACTCGATTTGTGCTTTCGGTGTTTCGTAATTTCTATATGCTTTCTCACTAGAACCACGCGCGCGCTTAGGTTCTAGCACGCTCCAGCCCTTGAAAATCTCACTGTTGCGTGCAAGTGCGTATGCACTCATACAATGTCACGACTTACCCACAAATGATTCCAACATAGGGTGAATGAGTATGAAAACGTGGGCCGCTCAGAGACGATTTCAGAGAAGGCGCACTACGAAGATTCCAAGGGGGCCCCAGGTGCGTGTGGCGGAGAACTCCAAAGGGCAATCCAAGAACCCAAAAACGCCCTGAGACGGGGTCACAAGAGAGGCTTGAAGAGGGCCCCAAGAGGCCACAGGACGTAGCACAGGAGGGCCTTAACAGGCGTCCCAAGCGAGCACGAAGGTGGCCCCAAAGGGGCCTCCAGAGAGTCCAGGGAAGTGTCCCCGCAAAAGCCGAACAAGTTCCGAAAAGGGCCCCGAGGCAAAGGCCCGACAGTGCCGCAAGAAGTGCGCCGAGGAGGCTTCAGAAGGAGGCCGAAGAGGGCTCAGAAAGAGCTCTAAGAGTAGCGTTAAGTCGGGCGCGTCCCCCCACAGGGGGGTTCTGAGCGAAAAATTGAAAAATAGCAAAAAAAATTCCCAAATAATCAAAACATGCTCCAAGAATAGTCCCCTGACTTATTGTTTTACTATTCTTTAATATTCCTCCTGTGGAGGGACATGCCCGACTTAACTCGAGTAGCTCCAAAATTGCCCCAAGAGGTGCCCCAAGAGGGACCGAAGACGCCCACGGCCCGAGGAGGGCTCCAAACAGGGTGTTCTGCAACAGGGGGGGGGCCTTCCGCCGCCCTCGCCGGCCACAGGGGAAGGCTCGCCGTCGTCGCCGTCGCCGTCGCCGGCGCCGGCGCCGACGCGGCCGCCGCGGTCGCTGTCGTCGTCCTCGTCGTCGTCGTCGTCGTCGTCGTCGTCGTCGTCGTCGTCGTCGTCCTTATCGTCGTCCTTGTCGTCGACGTCATCGTCGGGTGGTGCTGGAGAGCGCCGAAATCAGTCACAAACCGAAAGAAGTCTGTTAAGTGTTCTCTTCGTGTGCCACTCCGAGAGCCCGTCGTCCCCTCCTGCCACGGTGCATGGGTTATGTATCAGAAGCCGTTTTGAAGCCTGCGGGGGGCCGGCTGGGAGTCTCTGTTGGGCTTCTTCGGGGCCTCTTTTGGCTCTCTTGGGGCATCTTGGGGGCCTCTTGGAGCTTTTTTTTTTTTGTTTATGTGATCGATGGTGTTGCCTTGGCCTGCGTGAAACCGTCACTATGAAACACGTATCCGTTTCCAAATCAAGAGCAATACGATAACAGATGCGGTCGGCGACATGACATTACCAGATCAGCAACACTGAAGCATTATCGCAGCCCGATGTAAGTGAATAGCTTCGCTTGCAGCTCATATTTTGCTGCCCGCAACATGTTTGAAACTAGAAGTGATGACTCGGATGGCATTGCATCCCGCTGTCAACTCCCATCTAAAAGACAAAAGAAAATTGCCCGCCCTGTGCCTCTTGCAATGCCTTGATCCCCGCCTCCGAGAAGCGGTTGCCTTTGATATTGATCTTAATCTCTTCCGGAGGTGAACAATGCTCTACGGCGTATTCGATCGCTTTGGCCATCACGAATGCTTCCTCATCGCCCCAGTCTAGAGAACTCATGTGGACCCAGCCGCCGTTGAATTGAATGCGTGTATGGTTCTCGTAAGCATGAACGAAGCCTTTGCGGTATTGCTCAATGACGAAATCCTCGTCGGCTCCTGCTGTGAATGCAATGGTCCCTTCCCGCACGCCAATTCGCACCTGATCGGAGAACACATCGGGCGAGATTGGCGGCCCACGATGCGGCTTAGCTGGCATAGCTATGCTTTGGCCTTCCATAGCTATAGTTCGCACTTCCATGCCCAACTCCTCTGTACAAGTTGAATATTTCGTAAGACCACTTATGGTGCGCTCGAACTTGCACCAACCGCGGTTTTCGTAGGGCCGCGTGTTTTCATACTTGCCGTCGTCAACTGGCACAGGGTAGGTGGCAAGGAGTACATGGGTGTACGGGTGAGCATACCACTGGTTGATGGCACAGAGCCCCGCCTTGAAACGCTGCTTCTCGAAATCGTCAGAGCGCGGGAATTGCGGCAATGACATAAAGTCCCACAAGACGCCGATGGTCGCATCTCTTGACCTTTGCTTAACATCTTTTAACATTCGACGAAGTATGGGTGCGATGCGTTGCAAAGTCGAACCAAGGCGGTCCGGATGAGATCGATCGAGCCATGGGTAGCTGAGAACGACGACAGGCAGAAAATAGTGAAATGCACAACAGCGCAATTGCCAGACGTTGGCTGGGCCGATTTTTGCCACCTCAGGGAGTTCCTGCCAACGAGGCACGATGCCGCCTTTGTCGGCAAGGTCCACAAGAAACTCTGCGTCAACCAGCGAGGTATGCTCCAAAAGCGGCTCCAGCGATTCTCCGCCATACTGCACCCAACAACTCTGACGAACGTGCTTTGCGTCCGTCGTCTCCCGGGTGTGCTGGGCGCCCGTCACCTCCCGCACCCGACCGGCACCCGAAGCGCTGCAGCCCATGCCGGGGGGCACGCCCGAGGGGCGCAGGCGCCCTCCCGGCAGCCACGCTCAGTGCGCTCTGGGTCGATAGGAGGCTTGAGCCAAAATGGCAACGGAGGGCCTCTTGGAGCTCTTGGGCCGTTTGGCGACCCTCTTGGGCCATCTTGGGGGCCTCTTGGGGGCCTCTTGGGCCCTCTTGTGGCGATGTTGGAGGCTTCTTGGGCAGTCTTGGTGTGTCGGAAGCCCGACATCGCGAGAACACGAAAAACATTGAAAAACACCATAACAATCAATGAGTTTGGTTTCCTGATGGGGCCTCCTGGGGGCCTCTGGGGCCACCATGGGGTCGTCTTGGGCGGCTTGATGCGCTCATGGGCCGTCTTGGCGGCCTCTGGGTGTCCTCCGCGGGCGCCGAGGAGGGCCCTCGAGGCACAGGGAACGCCCTGGAGCGTTCAAATCAAAAAAACCCGCCGGCGCCGGGGACGAAAGCAGGTTGCGGGGGGGGGGGCGGGGAACTTTGAAAAGTATGCTGTTTCCTGGCCCGGGGAGCCGGACGCCGCTTATATTATATATTTCCCAGAGCCCCTCTGGGCAATGAAATTGAGGTGGCAGCACAAGGGAGGCCCGGGGAAATTATAACAGAAAATCGCCTCACGCGCCCCCTCAAGAACGGGAAACAAAAACGAAAAAGATAATCGTTTCAATACTCCCCTGAGATTGGTCTCAGGAGGGGCCGCCACCATGTGTGTGTGTTTATATATATATACATGTGTATATATTCATACACCAGACTGCAATGGCACTTCGCGCCATGCACCTTGGTCCTTGAAGTTTGGTATGCTGGCGGAATGGCAGCAAGGTAAAGCCAACAATTTAGCGATAACTCCTTGTTGCCTTTTCCAGCATCTCCGCTAAAATGATGTTTTTGTTATCCTTCCTCCATGCTTATTTTTCCTCGTTCTCGCCGTACCCTGCGCATTGTCCCCATCCTCCTCAGCTCTTTTTGCGGAGGCTCCTCCTTGGAGAGCCTCTGGGGGCCTCGCCAAAGTTTCAGGCTTTCTTAAGGCCTTCTGTAGGCCTCCTGGGCGTGTTCTGGAGGTTCTGGGGGCTTCCTCGGGCCACCCTGCCTCCGACCGCGGTCTCCCTGAACGACCGG